AGGTATTCCTTTTTTCCTCTTGGTTGTAACAGGAAAGAAGAGCAATGGAAGTATGATAAACGCTGCTATAGATGAAGTTTCTCCAGGTTCTAAAAATAAATTAAATGATAATGATTTTTAAAAAATATGTTAAACCAAAATATGTTTAAGTTTAAAAAGAAAAACTACCTATTGACAGATCTAGATAGTCTTTTATAATACACTTTAAACTAGGATCCTTGAGGGTATTAGATATTTTTTGTCCTAATTGAAGAATCTTGTCTTTGCACACAGGGAAATTTTCAAAAAGGTTTTCTTTTTTTTCTGGATAAATGGAGTTAAAATCTTCTATTAACTACAATTTTAAAATTCATTAGAAGTCATTGAAATTTATAATACAGTGAAACCTCTATATAGTGGACAGCCACGGGGAATTAAAAATTGTCCACTATAGAGAGTTGTCCACTATTGAGAAAACCTTTACTTAGTGGACATTTTCAAAAAATTACTAAATGTCCACTATAGGGAGAGTGGGAGACACTATAGGAAATGGGCTATATGTACACTGTATACATATGAACATATACATTGGAATATTAATTTTCTAGAAATAAAATAATTTTTCTATTGTCCATCTCCATTTTTCTGTTAAAACACATTAGCCAATCTGTCATTAAATCTCGATTCATCCATGCCTTATGGTTAGCTTTCCAATTAACACCTAACGTTGATACATTTACACTTTTGAAACAACGTGGTTTTAGTGATTTTCCAATTATTAACGGAGTTTCAAATTCCCCGATCATATTTACACATAGTAAAACAGTTAAGCGATCTTTAGCTATTTTACCTCCACGACAAATTTCGTTTTTTAAACACAATGTTTTATCAGGAAGTGCTCGAAAAAATAGCGTAATATTTTTTCAAATTACACGCATCTTGTAAAATGTTATTCACCTATATTTTTCATTAAATTATTTTTAGATAAATTAAAACAAAAAATGTATGTACATAATTAAATATTTAAATTTGCCTGTGACTTGCTTATGCAAAATCGTTCTGCTAAAACACGAACACTTAGATTTTCTGTTTCCTTGGTTTTAAATATAAACGAATATATAACAGATAAATATAGTGTTTTTATTAAACGTTTTCGATATGTACATTTATTGTGTCCATTTATGAGAGGTAATTTTTAATTTGGTACCAGTTTATTGTGTCCACGTCCACTAGTAAGAGTGTCCACTACTAAGAGGTTATAACTCCTATTATGCGCATATATTTTTGCCGGGGAATTTAGAAGTGTCCACTATTGGGAAGGGTCCACTATTGAGAGGTGTCCATTAATAGAGGTTTCACTGTAATATTAAGTTAAGATACTTACAAGAATATAGCCAGATGGGTTTTTTAAAGCTGGAAAACTTTTCATGTAATCAGAAGGTAGAGTAGCAGCTTTAGAATTTAAACTGAGTATATCTTTTAAACGTTTAGTTCTAGTGATTTCCCAATATTTCTGCACCAAATTCCAAGGGTCACATGAATTATTGAACCATTGTATTTGTTCATCGACATTTTCTATAATTAAAATTAGGAGTAAATTCAATTTAATAACAAAATATTATTTAAAAAACAAAGTAGTTAGGTTATAGTAAGTAGAGTTAGGTAGGTTAAATATTTAGGTATTTTGTAAATTTTGTAAGTTTGGTTCATCCGTCATAATTTATGAAATACTATTTTGGGGAAGTTCTTATAATAAAAATATAAATAAATTTAAGGTTAATATGAATTCTCTTTAAAGATTTATATTTTTCAAACCAAGTTGATACCCAAGTAATATTTTTAATGAATATTGTCTATCTGATTTGGATGTCTTGTATAGTAAAAATGTATGTATATTTATGTTTAATTATAAGGAATTAATTAATTACTCTTCGCACTATTATGCTACTAGATATAATAGTTCAATTTGAATTGTAACCTCTTCAATGAGACCTGAGAACTGAGTTACATATTATATAACTTTTATGCATTACTTGTTTTCTTAAAATGTGTAGGTATATGGTTTAAAATGAGTTTATCTATTTATGATATTAACTATTTTAAATGTTTTAAACGTTAAATTTATAAAGTTAAATTCAAAGATTTTGTTATTTAGTAATATTTTTATTTAAGTATAGGTTATATTACATAATTTGACTAAAAATTATTGTTGATTAAGTTTTAACTATATTTATGTAATGTTATAGTTTTTATGTCATATCTGAACCCTACTTACACCACAACCACGGGCTTTAGTGAGTAGACAAAACATGTAATAATGCATGTTTGTACAATTTTTTGTTGGTAAATGAATTAATTACCTAATAAATTAATAAATAAATAAATACAAACATAATAAGTGTCCCAAAAATAGTACTTCAAATTTAATTTCAAAGATGACTTAAGTAATCATTAGACATGGATTATAGTTATAAACTAACCAGTTTCTGATGTAGTCTGATTCAACAAAAGTGAAGCCGAAGAATTTTCAAAAGAAGGGGAACGACTGGTCGAAGAAATGAGCCCAGCCTTTTTGTATTCTCTTCTTTTGTTGTTGAAGCAGTCAAGGAGTTTACCTTTTGCTGCTTTTTTTATTGATGGACCTGTAATAAAGGAAATATAATGACAGATTTACTTTAATGTTTAAATTACATGTTAATATGTAATAAGTATTTACCATAGTTCATGTAGGGTATGAAATAGGTACTTAAATGTTCTTTAGGGAAAACTTTTGTTATCTCTTGAGCTAAAAAAAGTAATCTTTGTGTTTTGACAGATTTTTGAGGATCTTCTTGAAACTCTCTTCTGACAATTAGATTACAAATTTTTCTTCGTCCACTATTGTCTAACAAACCATCAGCATTATAAGTTGCTAATAAAGCCTTACCTTCAGTGGTGCTTTTCAAGTAATTTAACAAATCATAATCCTAAAAATCAAAAACAAAAATTCCTCTTATAAGTAACCCCGGGAAAAAACACCAGACATTTAAACCCCAAAAAGCAACCAGTGAAAAAATAACCAAGTAAAAAACCTATAATAAAAAATTATGAGTAGGTAATCCATAATATAAAAAATATAGGTAACATATTCAAAATATTTAATTATGAGTATATATTTTTAAAAAACAATAAAGGTATAATCATAACATAATATTATTTATAACTATTAATAAAAAACATTTATACTAACAACATTATAATAAAATATATACCAGATGATACAATTTGTCTATGGGGTTATTTTTTTCTGGATTATTTTTTCGTAGTAGGTACTAAATAAAACATGATGATTGAAATCTCAATGATAGTATATTTATTTAATCTTACAATGAAAATTAAATATTTTAAATTTAAAAAAAATTACCTTTGTTTGTGTCACTTCAGTTAAATTAATTGAATCCGTAGTATCGGATTGACTAGATCCTTGAGAATGTTGAATATCATCAGATGAATAATACTGTTGATTATCAAATAAACTTGAGACTTCTGAATCTGCTGCTGTCAATGAAGTGACCGATACTAGTGATGGAATTTCGATTGTGAAATGGGAAGAATCATTCAAATCCTTAATAATGATACATTTTAATAAGACATACTACCTATGCCTCGGTAGTTATGATAAATTAGTCAATACCATAAACTGTGGTTGATTATTAGCAAGAGCAATAACTTTACGCCACTCTTCCAAATTAACTTTAAACTTTGCCCTGTCGCCAATCATAGGCATAATTTCTCTCAACATGTCATCAGTTAAAAGCGCAAAGCATGATATATCTATTCCGTGTTCTAATAATTATTAATTAGGTAAAAATTATTAAATATTAATAGGTACGTTAACACCGATACAAAAGAAAAAAATAGTAAGCATTAAGCAACAGCACTCAAATATTAAACTCAATGAATATATTACCTTTAAATACGTCTGTATAAGATTCTAGGCCCCAAGCTTTCAACATATCTGACACATCATCATCAGCCATGTCTTATGCAAGATTCTCGTAGGTATTTTATTAGTTATTAATAAAAATAATATATATGCAACACACGTGTGTATATAAGGTTAACAATAAATAAAAACAGAATAACTGCGTACACGTTTTAATAAAGAGCTAAAATGGCGATCGTAAAGTGAATAGCACATTATACATTAACAGTAAAGTTAATAAAATAGTCTCATGTGGACGCGGGACGGCGTCTCGATATTCGATATCGTATTATCGTGATACTTACAAGAATAATCTGTCATATCAGTCAAACGTCTGGGTTTTATTCCAAACATAATGGCTATTTTTATCAAATTGAAACGTTATTTCAATCAAACATTAGCAGTATCTACTATCTACTAGTAGAAAAACTATTCACTGTTCAGCAAAATCAACCAAACGTTTGGTATTAATTATTACAAACACATTGCTATCGATACTGAAATATATCAGTGGCGAACCCAGGGGGGTGGACCCCGGGTCCGGACCCCCCCTTGGCTCATGCCATAGTATTTATTTTTATTTCATATTTTTAAAGTTACCCAGAAGTTTTCATCAAAATGTATTGATTATAATTATTATTAGAGCTGGTATATTGTTAATAACACAAAGAATCTGATGTATAGATAAAATCAACGATTGTCAATAACCTATTATATCATAATATACGTATATAGTTGCAATCAGTGTAAGATAAAATATATGTACATCATATAACGTGATACGTATGTCGTATATCTTAATCCGTGGTTTTTCTATGAGTTTTACTGACTGACCAATAATATATAAATATCAGCGATAAAACGGGCGGTGTTGAGTATAGTGATGTATAGTCTGTACAGTCTGCGATATTTGTTACTACAATATACGTACATTGCAAAAAAAAAAAAAAATTATAATTTTTTTCCATAAATGTTGTGTGTACAGTGGATATTTGTGCTTATAATTTTCTATATTCGTATTTCAAGTAAACGTTAAAAATATTATATTAATTCAGCCATGAAACGAAGTATAAATGACTATTTTGTATCAAAAGTGAGGTGTGTAAGTAATAGTTCTAATGTAACAAATAATAGAGATGTTTCGGTTTCAAATTTAACACAAGTTCCGGACAAAGACGAACAAAATGTTATTTTGAGTACTCCGGTGCCTAAAAATTATAGTATATTTGATATAAAACTATATATTGATAAACTATTGACGAAAACCGAAAAAACGGAAGCATTAAATACAATTTGGACGCCAGGTAAAAATTATGATTTTCCTATTACGCTTTATGGTAGTAAAAATTTAAAATTTCAAATGTCGTGGTTTGATAAATGGAGTTGGATTGCATATAGTGGTTTAGATGATGGCATTTATTGCAAATATTGTGTATTGTTTTGCGTCAAACAAGGTGGGAAAGGAGACCAATCGCTTGGGCAGCTTTGCACTCAACCATTAAAAAATTGGAAACACGCAATTGAAAAGCTTAAATCGCACGAAGCTAATAATTATCATATTAATTGTGTTTTAAATTTTCAACATTTGTCTGCGGTAATTTCAGGGGAAGAGTCTTCTGTGTATGACCAAATTAATAAGGTAGCAAAAAAACAAAAAGACGATAATAGGAAAATTATTAGCCCTGTAATTCGATCAGTTATACTCTGTGGTCGTCAGGGAATTGCCTTAAGAGGCCACCAGGATTGTGGTCCATTAAAATTAACTGAACCAAGTGAAAATGATGGCAATTTTCGTGCTTTACTTCGATTTTATTTAAATGCAACTCAAGTTTCGGGAGATAATACTCATGTTTTATTGCGGGAAAATTGTAAAAAAAACGCGCAGTACATAAGTTGGAAGATACAGAACCAGATAGTCGATGCTTGTTTTAAAATAATTACACAAAAAGTAGCTAAAAAAATCAATGATTGTAAGTATTTTTCTATTATTGCCGACGAAACTGCCGATATCTCCGGTATTGAACAATTATCTTTGTGTGCCAGGTATTATGATTCTGATGATGGGAAAATGCACGAAGACTTCTTAAAATTTGTACCTATTTATGAAGTTAATGGTAGGAATTTAGCAAATACTATAGTGGAAGAATTAAAAAATATGAATATTGAAGTAAATAATTTGCGGGGCCAGGGATACGACGGCGCTGCTGTTATGAGTGGTAAAATGAATGGCGTTGCCGCACTGGTTAAAAAAGAATATCCTACAGCTCTTTATATACACTGCAGTTCTCACAACTTAAACCTATCAATATCTTATTCTTGTAATATACCTGAAATAAGAAATACCATGGGTACAATTGAAAGTGGATATTTATTTTTAAACACTCCAAAAAGACAAATAGTTTTCAGTGAAAAATTGAATTTATTTAAAGAAGAAGAAAAGTTGAAAGATAATGGGTGTCAATCAAAAAAACTAAAACTGAAACGCCTTTGTCCAACTCGATGGGTGGAACGCCATAATTCGGTGGAAATATTTTATGATTTTTTACCTGTTATTTTGAGTAGCTTAGAAGAAATGATCACGTGGTCCGATAAAGATACGGCCACGAAAGCTAATCAACTACTTTTAGCTTTACAGGCTTCTGAATTTCATATTAGTCTGGCTATAATTAATAAAATGTTCAAATATACCAAGCCTCTTAGTATTTACTTACAGAAGCAAAATATTGATTTATGCGAAGCCATTAACCATATTAATATTATAATAAAAGAGTTAATGACTATTCGAGAAAATGCTGAAACTGTCTTCAGTGATTTATTCAAAATAATTGTAACACAATCAAAAGAAATGGATATAGAAATTAAAATTCCAAGACTTGCCAAAAGACAAAAACACCGATGCAATATAATGATGAACACACCTGAAGAATATTATAGAGTAAGCATTTTTATTCCATTCATTGAGTCTATTATTGAACAGTTAAACGACCGATTTAATAATCACAGAGAAATAATATCTGGGTTTCAAGCGTTAATTGATTATAATATTAAAACTGATCTTCATCAACTTGTACATTTTTATCAAAATGATACCGAATGCTATGATAAAGTAGTTATAGAAATTAATTTATGGCATAGGTTTTTAAGAGAAAATAATATTAAACCCACGAGTGCATTAGACGCACTATCAAAATGTAATCCGGATTTTTATAAAAATGTATATACCTTATTGCACATCCTCGTTGTTCTACCTGTTACATCGTGTGAAGCGGAACGAACATTCTCATCTCTCAAGAGAATTAAAAACTATTTGAGGAACACTACTTCTGAAAATAGGTTGAATGGTTTGGCTAATCTTAATATTCACCGAGAAGTCCCAGTAACAGTGGAAGAAGTTATAAATATATTATCTGAAGAAAACCGGCGCTTAGATTTTACACTATAGATAATAATAATAAATAATGACTTTACCATAATTTAATTGGCATAATAATAATAATTATTTTTTCATTGTAAATATAAATTTAAAAATGTAAATAATATGTGTATTGAATAATATAATTGTATTTATCAAGCAATGAAATGTATTTATAATGTATATAGTATATACTCAGGAAGAGAACAGAAAAACAATATATAATAAATAAAAAATTTTCCTGGACCCCCCCCCCCTTGAATAAATCCTGGTTGCGCCACTGAAATATATTGTTATTTATACAAATTGTATACGTTGATTTAATGTAATGTAGCGTTGGAATTATTGAACAGTTTCTTTTGGTTTGTCGAAATGTTTAATTATTTCTTCTATTTTGTAGCCATTACAATTCATCTGCTATCTTAATTATTAATTGTGTTACGTTATCAAAACAACATTTAACAATATTATTCTTGTGACTATTGAAACACAATTTTCTAATGTCAACTGAATTTATTGTTATAATTATTATTTTATAGTTATTACAACAATAAATTATTTTACAATGCTATTTTGTTAAAGACTATTCAAATATTTTTTTCCGTGTATCAACTTAATATGAGCGCGACAAGGCTACGACAAATTGTGGTAAAGTTATACAGGTATTATAAATAATTAAAAAATAAAATGTAAATAATGTAAATAATAAATTGTCCTTACGTTATTATCGTAACGTATCTTACGTAACAAAATAATTAATTAGAATTCAAATGCTTTGCAATAGCCCAATATGGTAATATACACTATAAAGGTCTATTTACACACAGCAGTGACGTGACAGTGCCGTGACCGTGCCGTACCCGTTCCGGGATTCTACCGGCCGTGATTTCTATTCACATTGGTCAGTGATTCATCCGTCATTGAGTAGTGTGCATCATCTGCCACGATGACTTTGTTTTCGGAAAATGAACTTTTGATGATTGCTTTGATTTTGGACGAAGAGGAGGAAGAAGAAGTAGTAAAAAAAAAACGGATATGGGTACATCAGGCATGGAAGAAAAGGCCAACAGAAGGGGAATTTTCTACTCTATATAAGGAATTGATGGATGATGGAACAAAGTTTTTTGAATACTTTAGAATGTCGGAAAATTCATTCAACTTACTGTTAAGCAAATTAGAAATTCATCTAAAAAAACAAGACACACACTGGAGAAAAGCTATTACACCAAAAGAACGGCTCGCAGTTTGTTTAAGGTAATTACAGATATAAATATTATTTAATACAATACAAACTGATTTATTTTTAATACACAAAATAAAAATTTAAAGCTAACAACATTAATTTTTATTAAATAATTTTTAAAAATGTTCAATTCTTTCACGTTCTTTCAACTCAATATTTTTGAAAATATACTGTAAAGTCTTGGTTTCGATCACTTAATGAATTAGTGAAAGAAGAAGTTGTTGGAGTAGGATGATCGGCTGCAGGGGAGGACTGTTCAGAGTATGATGAAGTAGAATACGTTGAAATAGGAGATGGCTGCGCAAATTGTTCTTGGTCCATAATCATTTTAAACTCGTAGTTTTGAACGGCAGCAAAAATATCAGATTTAGCGTAATGCCAGTAGCGTGGGGTTAATTTTTTCAAAACTGGAGCTATTCCGGATAAAAAAGCGTCAACAGGATGTTTTGGTTCCAATGGTACCATACTTTCATTTTTTTTTACCAGGTACTCCATAACAGTAGCAGCGGCTGTCTTTGAAGGAGGAGCGTCTGGTACCGAGTATTTTTTTTTCTTTCGTGGTGTTGAAAATTGAGAGGAACCTGATTGATTTAAACTTGGCAAAGGACAACTATTTTGTGACTCTACAATCACAGGATTATCAGCTTCTTCTGTGGTACAGTTTCGAGAGTATTCTTCATTTTCGTTAGGTTCATTAACGTCATCATCAATATTAATATATTCATTTGCGACTTTGTCATCAATGTTTGACATTGTGTCCCTCTCATCAAAGAATTTCGTTATAAAACTCAACTGCTGTGCATATTTGTACTGCTTTATTATTTTCGCCTTTTGACCACTCACAGTTTTATTTTTCTTCACCGATTTTCTGAAGTTGTCTCTTATATTTCCCCACCTACTTTTAGCCGAAGGCACTGAAATAGACAAAAATGTAATGCTACATATAAAACATTTATATGCGTTAAATTTATTCACTTAACATATAATATTATGTACCTTACATATACGCAGTGTCCCACGGAGATCTGACAAATGAAATAACTTTTGTTCTAATCAATATTTTTTAAACAATTCTTTTAAATATAATTCATAGACACTTGTGCTACATTTTTAGAATACATTTTTTATTTTTTAATACGAGATCGTAATTTATTTAACGAAAATATTGATATTTAAAAAAATTGTAAAAAATCAGCCTTTCGACTTAAATAAGTGTTTTTACCATATAAATTTTTCTAAAAATCAGATTTACAAATTGGTTATATTGAATATTTCGAAACAAAATTTTATCAATTTTTAAGTTTTTTATTTTCAGTATTAAAAAAAAAAAAAAAAAGGAACCAAAAAATGTAGCGCAAGTGTCTATGAATTATATTTAAAAGAAATTTTTAAAAAATATTGATTAGAACAAAAGTTATTTCATTTGTCAGATCCCCGTGGGACACACTTGTATTCTTAAAGCATGTTACAAAATTTAAAATGATAACTATTGCTAAAAAAAAACTCATTATCATATACATAATATAATTATAATAATAAACAATTAAATATTTATAAAATTAAAATAGTAGTTACACAAATTTGTAAAACCAGTCCATTATTCATTTTTATAGATATTTGGCCACGGGTGATTCGCTTAAAACAATTTCGTTTAGCTATCGCATGGGGCATAGTACCAGAGGCGGTTTGAACAATTACATCTTACCGGGGCAGATAAATTGAAACCACCCACCTACCCCTGTCCTACTCTAAAAAAATTGTTTTTGTTTCGTTTGATTTAAATAAGAACTGCTTAAACGTTAATTATGTATCAATAAATATGTTCTTAATTCTTAAATTTACTGGTATATTAAATTTTAATTTATTTAACCAAAATATACCTACAAAAAGCAGGGTTAAGCTTAAAAGTTTAAAAAAAATTGAAAATGTTGTTGTACCTGCTTGTTATTTTAGTCCTAGGAAAAATATATAAATCTATAATAAATAGGTATAAATTAATTCAAAATAAATGTTATAATTAATATGTTAACAACTTAAATCTTAATGTTTTGTATAGTATACATTTGTCATTAGTTATAATTTTTAAATATTAGTATTACAGTTTTTATTTGTTAGGTTTAACATATTATTATTATTTAAAACCAACCTAAGTAAAATTATAAATATGATTTTAGTGAAACATACTTTTCAAATATTCAATATTGCTTATAAATTTCATAAGTTTTAATGAATGAACAAATTATGTATATTTAACATAATAATATTCATTTTTTTTTCTATTTTAAAACTACAAATTACAATCTAAATGTTTAAATAATTATTCATTATGTATATCTAAAGTAAATAAACCAAACAATTTATGAAAATAGTCATGGTTATAACTTATCAATTATGAAATATTATGATGGATATCGCCATTACAGTATCATAATAAACAACTACATATTAACTATTAAGTAAATAGTACTTTTATAAAACTATCAACAGGTTTATTTTCACAGATTAAGAGATATTATGTTCACCATGTCTGCATTACTCCACAGAACTAAATACATGAATATAAAACATAAAAAATATATCCAAGAAAAATATACATTATTATAAATTATACTATATTCTACGGATTATATTATAAAAAATTAATAAAAAAATAACATTAATAACTATACAATTATTACTGATACAACAGTTCTGTTTGCAATAATTTGGATTTCATTGCAAACCTATCAATAGCCTTTTCTTTATTTATATCTATATCTGGTGAACATGATAATACCATTAAATGGTCAAGCCATTGACGACCTATGTTTAGTTTTTATTAACTTGAGTTTTGAGAACGTTCTTTCGGCTGTAGCTGAAGTCGAAGGAAGTGTACATATTGCTTTATACACTGTATATAAGTTTGGAAATGCTGATTCCAGATTAAACTTGCATAACAGTTTTAAGATTTGTACCATTTTAAAATCTGACTTTTTGATTTTTTCGATACTTTCTGTTTGAATATCTTCATCACTATTTTCTGTGTCTTCTGTATCTTGGGAACTTATAAACAATTTGGATATATTTAAATCAACATTTTTTGTATTTAGCTCATCAAAATAGTTTTTAAATATTTCAAATTCTACACTTAAATTTTCTTCATTCACTGCGGTTAACCATTGTGTTATTTTTTTAAAAATATCCTTAGGGTATTCTTCGCCAAATTTGTCAGGAGAAAAAAATGTCAAACTTTTTAGAATATGTTCAGCGTTAGAATACCGTTTATCAATCATCATGATTTTTTTATCAAGTGTAATATTATAAACTTCACTTACAAAATTGTCTTCGGTTGAATTTGATCTTTCATCATTTGACAATTCGCCATCCATTTTTTTTTTAAACTAACACGTTTCCATATCCAATTTCTTTCATTTAATTCAAATTTCTCACAGAAAGTTTTTGCTTCATTAATAAAACATTCAAGGAGTTGTTCTCTTCCTAAATTTCTTAAATGGAATAATTCATTTCTAGTTGCTTTAACAAGTTTCATTGCTTCGACAAAATCTAACTTGGAGGACTGCAAATAATTTGATAAAGGTGTGGTAGAATTAAATATTTTCTTCATCATAAACATAATTACTATAAACTCAAATGAATTTAATGATTTTAGTAGACCTTTTGCCAATGTTTTTGACTTCATATCAGTTTCATTTGATTTTTGATTACTTAATGTCTCAAGTGTTTTTAAAATAGCTCCATAAGTTACATGAACTGCTTCAATCGCCCGGTCATGGTATGTCCAACGGGTCTCAGAAAAGTGTTTAAGACGCCTTACACGCTGAGAAGGTGGATATAATTCCTTTTGGCTCTGTACGTATAAATGTGTTCTTTTTCTAGAACCCAGGAAGGTAACTAATGTTTGTATAGTTCCAAAAAAGTTTGTTACTTTTTCATTTGCAGTACATGCATCAACCACTGCTAAATTTAAACAATGTGCAAAACACCAAACATGTAAAGCACATGGATTTTGAGCTTGTATATAACCTCTAAGGCCTTTTAACTCACTTTGCATATTGGAAGCTCCATCATATGCCTGGCCAATGAGTTGTTTCCTCCAGTTTAATCCATAGCGTTCACATAATTCACAAAATACATCAAACATCCCTTTTCCAGAAGAATCATTTACTTCATCGATACCAACTAAACGCTCAAAAACTTCACCATCGTCAGAACAATATCGTATAACAAATGCCAATTGATCAATCTTTGCATTATCTGTTGTAGTATCAATTATGACAGAAAACATACCAGCATTCTTGACTGTTTGTAAGATTTTGTAACGAAGAGTTTCCGCTAAAGCTTCTAACATAGCATTTTGAGAATCTTTTGACATAAAAGTGAGTCTTTTTTTTTATCAGTATTATTCATGTTTTCTAGATGAGCTAATAATATTGGATGATAGTTAGATAAATGTTTAGTAAGGCCTATAAACTTTCCTTGATTGATAGAATCATTTTTTAACATTTTTTCATTGTGGCCACGAAATGCTGAATCGTATTTTGAAAGATACAAAATAATATCCATAAGTACTCTTATAATTTCACGATTCTTGGATACTTGAGTATTTCCAGATCTAATTAGTGATAAATCTATTCGATTTTGACTGACATACATTGCTCTACTAATTTCTGACTCTAAATGGACTTTACAAGATTCGTGATCCTTTAAACGAGTAGATAAATGTTTCCAATCATTACATCCGGTCGTAGAAAATATATTATTCTGAGCTTTAGAAGTACCATATAAGCGACAAGTCCAGCAATAAACACGGTCTACTATTAGAGAATATGCAAGCCAATTTCTACTGTGTGTATCATTGTTAGTTTCTTTTTTATAATAAACTTCTGAAAATGACCGTTTAGTACCACTTAAAGAAGATTTAGGAAATTCTCCTCCTGGCAAATCTTTACTGACTGGTTGTAAAGGGCCAAGATTGGTTAGCATTTGTAGAAGAGCTGATGAGATTTTAACATTTATATACAAATATGGATCATTAATATGTTGTGATTCTGTCAATGAAAGACCATCAGCTTTAAAAACTTCATAAGCATCCAAACTCTCTAAGTTCTGTAGATTAATTGTATTTGAACTACAATAATAAAAAAATGAATTAAAATAATACTATAAATATACATGTTACATTACGTTTTATAATTTTATTAATTTTCACTTTCAATAGTGCAATGTTCTAAGGGGAAAATTGTTAATTTGTTACCTCAGTTGTATATTATATTTAAATATGGGTAAAATAAAATTTAAAAATATTAAAAATCCTATTTGGTTATTATTTTTAAAAAATAAGTATTAAATTTTACCTTGCAGTGACTTCTGATAGTATGAAGTTATTGATTGAGGTTGGTGGAGATGGAGGTGACATCATATATTTGTTGGTAATGGCATTATTTTTATTTTCCAGACTAATGAATAAAGAATAAATATTAAAACCATTTAAAAAATGTTATTATTTTAATTTATAGATAATATTTAAATTGACCTTTTAGAATCTACAAACAAACTTGGATTGGTAATATTATGTTGTGATTCAGACAGTAAAATACCATCAGTTTTGGCAACATCCAAACCAGCCAAACTCTCTATGTCTTGTGGATTATTTTCATTTGAACAACTACAATTTAAAAAAAAGTGTAATTAATAAACAGGGTGTAACAGATAGAACTGACTTTTAGAATAACTTTTGTTCAAATCTAGATTTTATAATTTTGATTTTTGTTTATCATTTATAGACCCTAGCGCTACATGTATAATTTATTTATTTATATTTTGTGTAATGGGCGATGGGAAAATGTTATTATAAAATATTTAACTATACCTTGTTTTGTCTTTTGATGGTATAAACATTGATGAGGAATGCGATACAAGTGTTTCATTTTTATGAAGCAATTTTAATTCAGGATCTGAAAATGAAACTATTTTTATACATTCAATAATATGTTATAAAAATATGAATACACTTATCAATACTTGAAGTAGTTTTTTATTTTTCTTAACAGATTTGTCTTTAGAATTATATTCTAATTCATGTTTTTTAGTATGACTTGAAGTAAAGAAAGAAGCTATACTTGGACTACACTGATTTGCTTTCTTAATTTTACATGCATTTAAATGACGTGTCCAATTTGTTGTATTCATTGTGTGTCTTTTTTTTCCACACACACAAAATTCGCTGTCGCACAACGAAGACATTAGGAGTGAAAAAAGAACACCAAATAGAAACACAAAGCCACAAAATTCAATAATAAATTAAAATAAAAAGTTTTAATACACGCGTTACTCGTCGTGACTCGCGGGTAGTGGCAGACGCCAGACAGCAGTGACACTAACTAGTTAATACTTAATACTTATATAATAATATATAAGGTATATAATTATTATTTTTCAAATTTTAGATAACAGCAAATAATGTAGATATGGTATAAATAAATTTAATTTTTCATTGGACAATCTATAATCTATTTTTATAGAAGTATTGGGAAACTTTTATGTTTAATAAAATGCAACGCTAGTGCTAATCGCTAATATCATATTTATTTTGTAATAATAATATTGTTAAAGAAATACGTAGAAAGGTTGTTACGTTAATTTCGTAAATGTATGATATAATTCAATATTTAATAACTACATACTTATAAATAACTTTTTCCTCGAAAGAGAGCAATGATAATGATAATCCATATGTCATTGCGTGAAGTTGGGGTACGTCGTGCGTACGATAACGTCGATAACGATTAACGAGTGATTACTGATTAATAAGATAATAATATAATATGCAATTTACAAGATTATAAATTTAAGTAGTTTTATTACTGTCCCACCGGCCATCGCTAGATAATTTTTCACATTTAAATGATTTTTCAAGTTTTTTTTATTAATGAACTTTTCCAAAAACTTCTGTTAACCAGTTTTTAGAACAAAATGATGTACCCATTCTCAATAAAACTGATTTTCGGGAGCGCAGCTTATTTTATTCATTTTAAATCTTCAGAAGATAATGGCGCCAACTGAATAATTTCGTGTTATGTTTTCCCCGGATCTGGAGGCATTTTTTTTTTAAATTCGTGCCTGATAATAATATGTATTATTTTGTGCTTATCCGACTTATCCCAACTATACGTTGTCCTATTATTTTGGTTATAACTTATAATATTTTAATCTAATGAAATTTATTATGTACCTAGATAGTACCTATTACATTGGCATTGATTTAAAATAGGTTATAATGTACCTTTAGTTTCTAAATATTTGTATAAAACATTTATTACTATTGAATTCTCTTGAGTTTCATTTTACCAAACTACTGAGCACTAACCCACTGACCCACCCACCCACCCAAACCAAATTTTTTTTACCGGGGCGCCGCCCCGGTAGAAGTTGCTTACAAGCCGCCTCTGCATAGTACAGTTTACAAGATCGTTCGAGAAACCTGTCAAATAATTACTGAAAATCTTATGGACGAGTTGATGCCTACACCAACTGAAGAAATGTGGGAGAACATAGCTAATGATTTTTTTCGTATGTGGAATTTTCCGGGATGTATCGGGGCTCTGGATGGAAAACACGTTACCATTCAAGCACCTCCAAATACAGGATCAATGTTTTTTAATTATAAAAAGACATTCTCTATAGTTTTGTTGGCTCTTCTGGATGCTCACTGTAATTTTATTGCTGTTAATGTAGGGGCATATGGCAAGAGTAGTGATGGAGGTGTTTTTGCTAATTCAAATTTAGGTAAAGCACTTCATCGTGGATCATTGAATATTCCAGCTAATTTGACCATACCCAACACAGATACACAAGTCCCATATGTAATTGTAGGTGATGAGGCATTTCCTCTAAAACCTTACTTGATGCGACCTTATCCAGGGGACAAATTAGATGACCGAAAGCGCAACTTCAATTACCTTTTGAGTCGTGCCAGGAGGACATCAGAAAATACATTCGGTATACTTACGCAAAAATTTAGACTCTACAATAGACGAATTCAGGCATTTCCAAAACATGTAGACTACATAATTTTGGCCACTTGTTTACTACATAATTTCATTAAAAAATACGATTCGTATACGTACAATTACGTAAATCAACAAGCTGATAGAAGTAACGGTCATACGCTACAACATTTAAATTTTCAAGGAGGGAACGCAACGACAGACGCATTTCGTGTTAGGGAAGTATTCACTGAATACTTTAATTCTGAGGTTGGGTCTCTACCTTGGATATAAAATAATTAAATTTAAGAAAATAATGTATGAAATAAAAGGACGATTTAAAAATATTACTCGTATTATTATAAAAATATGTTATAACTTATAAGTTATAAGTTTATAATTAAGACCATATTCTATATTTTATATTTATTATTAATAATAATAACATAATTGATAATGTATTTGATGTACCTATTTCTTATAATATAATATGTATTTAAACATGATATAATGTGTACATAATATAATATTTATATAAATAAATAATGTATTTCTTACCAGTTGTTTCCATTTCTTCTGCTATTTTACTCCAAATAGTATTCTTGTAATCTGTGTCCATGTACTTTGCATGAGATAAATCATACAATACGGGATATTTCCGCACTAATTCAATAAGTTTTTCGTCGTTCATTTTTACAAAAATTGAGAGAGTCAATGAATTACAACAAAATTCACTGCCGTGAAATATGAAAAATATCGTCGGCAAGTAATCGCAAATTCACGGTACGACGACGGCGACAACACTGTTTTCGTTTGTACGGTCACTCGCCGGACGAGTGAGAACATCATGCTTATCTTTCCTTTAATGCCGGGTTCACACTATTGCAATTTCTGGCATGCTTTTTCCCGCATGCTTATTTTTACTCGTGCAAGAACAAAATTGAACAAATGTGAACGTTGATAATACGCATGCAAGTTCTTGCATGCTCAAACTTGCATGCAGTCCGGCATGTCGGACAGTAATTGAATGCAATTAGGTAATTGTATGCCAGTTTACTCTCAAACACGATTAGTGAACCACGTGGATGTGATTGTGTTTTATGAATTTTGTTTTAAGTTTATTTGTTAAATAATTTAATTTTTAAACACTGAAATGGCTACTTCCAAATCAAAGTATAGTTTGAACGAAGAAAATGTACTGAAATTAATTACTTTGTATCGCCATCATGAAGTACTATGGAACGTAAAACTGAACCAATATAAGAACAAAGATGCACGGAACCAGGCATATAAAATGATTTCTGAAGAAATGAATGAACCTAATTTTGGACCATCTGATGTTCCAATAAAAATAAAAAATTTACGTACGGCCTACCACCAAGAAAAAAGAAAAGTAGAGGATTCAAAAAAGTCTGGATCAGGTGCCAACGATGTGTATAAACCAAAAGTATTTTGGTTTGAAGCACTTGATATATTTTTGCATCCGGTTGTCGAATCAAGGAAAACTCATTCTAATTTGGTAATTTTTTAATATATTTCACTACCAAAATGTAAATAAATTAAATTACATAAATACCAATAGTAAATACTAAATTTATGTATAATATAATATTAGAATTTAGTATATAGGTCCGTGAAGTTGGTCGCACAATGTCAAAATTTTAAAAAATGTAATACGTAACTAATACAAACATAATAATAATATTAATTAATATATAGATAAATTTACTTAAAAAATCATATTATCCTGCCATGGAACAGCACCTTCGTTATTAAAATATTGTGTGTATTTTTCTCGCAATGTTGTGGCTGATGTCGACGGATATCTCGGTGGGTGAGAAGTCATATTTATAATTCCTGTTGGTTGTACTTCATTACGCCATGATCCGGGAGACCAATTACAATTATCTAAATCTTCATAATCAAATGTACCCGATGGTGTGTAGGTATTAGGCGATTTTATTCTAAGCCAATTATGTAAAGCACAAGTAGCATTTACGATACTGTCTACCTTTTCTGGAATAAGCGATATTGGTTTTTCATAAACTCTAGATCGACTTGTTAGAATTCCAAAAGCATTTTCTACTATACGCCTAGCTCTTGACAATCTATAGTTAAAAATTTTTTGCTCTTTTGTTAAATTTCTTCGCGCATATGGTTTCATTAAATATGGTTTCATAGGAAACGCTTCATCGGCAACAAAAACTGCGTCTTTTGGGAGGTTTAGTTTATTATTTTCAATTGCATATTTTAAGGAACAATCTGCAAATATACCACCATCCGACTGTCTTCCTTTTGCTCCAATATCTACATAACGAAAGCAATAATCATGATCTACACTTGCCATTAAGACTATACTACAAGAATTTTTGTAGTTGAAGTACTCAGTCCCTGTGCCCGGTGGTTTTTTTACAACTACATGTTTCCCGTCAAGGGCACCAACGCAGTTAGGAAAATTCCAACGCAAATTGAAACCATTTTGGATTTTTTTCCATTCCTCTTCTTTTCTAGGGACCTGGAAATGTATAAAAATATTTCAGATTCAAAAATAATATAAATATTAAATATAACATAAAACCATACAACCATTTGAACAGTTGATTATTTTATTTATTACGTTTTCGAAGTACCCACCTAATTTTCAACTTATTATTTATTATAGGAAATGCTCATTGAAAAAGATAATGAATCTCAGTCAAATTTTGTTTGTGAAAATTTAACATCAGCCGAGTCTATTCAGCTGAATAGCTCTTTTTCATCAGTTGAACATAATGCTACATTAATCTCTGCAGTTAACAATACATCCCAACTATCATCGGACTTATCAGAAAAAGTTTTATCACCTCCGCTACCACCTCCACGGACTTTATAACGATCAATTTCAAAAAAAAGGAAAAATGAAGTGTCGGATACAACATATCTTGATAATGCTCTAAAAAAATTAGACGAAATATCTGAAAAAACAACACAACCGTTGGAAATGAACGAATTTGATGCATTTGGTAATTTAGTATCAACGATGTTAAAAAAATTACCCATAAATTTATCATTTCAAGCACAAAGTGATATACATAGCTTACTTATTAAATATAAATTGCAAGCTGTACAACCAAGTCCAAGTGGAGTATTTAACTTTTCGCAAACACCAGTTATTTATAATCAACAAGCTACTAATGATATACATGTGGAATATTCACCAGGGTACAACACAACATTAGCAGTTCCATCGGTATCATCCCATTTCGCCGAATCCTATTTCGCCGAATCCTACTTTACCGACAAAAAAAAACAGTTGTATACGGATTAATATAAAATCCCATTTGGCCGAATGCTATTTTTTCGAATCCCATTTTGCCGAAAAATTTAAAATAAAATTGTATTTGTTAGGTCATAAAGACTAAAAAATTAATACAAGGTTCCTAATATATTGTGACAAAAAGTGGTTAAATAAGTTTTTAATATTTCTAACTCTAAAATTCAAAAATTCACTTTTTTCTGTTGCTTTTCGCTATAATTGATGTATTATTAAAGTGGGAAGAAAGCTATTTCAGGTGACATCGTCGCGGAAACATCGTTCCGTAATCTTATCGCTGATAAAGTGACAATAGTAATAAAAACTTACATCTACAAATGTAAAATGTTACACATATAATGATGATGAGTTTACTCACAGTCACTCTCTTTATAATCTGCAGTCACATTTGCCACTCGTACTAGTTATTTAAGTGTTGTATTTTAAAAGTGTATTTTAATATGTCTTGGTATACAATTAATTCAAACCGCGGCAAACCGCTATTAGTTGTAGATAATTATATACATAGGATTGACCGAAATAATGGAAATAATGAATATTATAAGTGTATTGATAACTGTGGAGGACGAGCAATATTAAGATCGCAAACGACTGCAATAATATCCAAAATTCATCATCACCCGACGCATGGAGCTGAATTGGCACGACGTGGATTTCGAGAAACTCTAAAGGTAAAATAAATCTTCAGTTTGTTTATATATTATATTATAGTTTGTATATATTATAAGTATACGTATATATATTGCGTTAATATATAAATAATACAGTGTGATTGATTAAGCGTAAAACACTCATTATTTCAAAAAGTATTCGTGTTTTTGAAAACAATTTTTTACATAGTTTTAAGTCGTTAAAAATAATACGTTTTTATTAAAAAATTATATTTTTAAATATTTTTTATCCCCTATATTTTTTTTAGTTTTTTAGTTTTTTGAATGACAACATAGAGTTTTAATTTCATATTCCAAAGCAGAATAATTTTCTGAGTATTTTGATACATAAAAATCGAATTTTGGGCGAGTAGTTTATGAGTTATACGTATTTATAGTTTAGACAAGCGGAGTGGAGTGGTACGGGGTACCCCGCAAAATTTTAAATACGTAAACTCATGAACTACTGGTCCTAAATTTGATTTGTATGTGAATAACGATTTTTTTTTTTTACTACGATAACTTATAACAAACCTTGCATTAAAAATTAACTTAATTAAATTAAATTTTAAAGATTTTTAATATAATAAATTATATGCCCCGGGCGCCAAATTTTTAAATAGTATAATATTAAATATTATAAAATATTATTATATTTTTTATATATATATTATAATAATAAATCATATATCAAGCGTGTATATAGTATACATATATAATTAGTATGTAGATCACATAAAAAACGAATTATTATATATTTAGGAAAAAGTGGTTTCAAATCCAACAAAATCTGTGCCTCAGAATTTCCACGAAGTGAGACGATCCCTTGTTTCTTCAGGAATAAAAGGTTGCACTATATCAGAAGTAGAAGATGCTGTTCCTGTATATACTAGTGTCAGATCTTCAGCATACAGAAAGCGAATGAAATTGGTACCAAAATTACCTACAAAGTTATCGGAACTTATTCTTGAGAACGAATGGAGATCAACTAACGACAGAAAGGATTTTTTATTAGGTAATTATTTTTTCATGACAACTTGAGAAGTAGGTACTGCTCAATCAGTTAATAATACAAACCATTAATAACTAAATGTATATAGGATGTGATGGTCTTGACGACAAAATTGTTGTATTTGGGACGGAAGGATTCTTAAGAAGACTATGCAGTAGTGAAATTATTTTTATGGATGGGACATTTAAATCAGCACCTCAGTTATTTACCCAAATTTATACTTTGCACAGCTATGTTGTAGGAATAATGATACCATTGGTAATTATAATTATAAAAATAAACTAATAGGAGTTTTTAGTACATAATTATTAATTATAGAAAATTGACTTTAAAGGCTTATGCATTGCTACCCAACAAAAGCACAGAAACGTATTCCAGAATGTTTAAAATAATAAAAGAAGCTGCTCTAAGGAATGGTTTAATATTTAACCCCAATACATTTCAAATAGACTTTGAAATTGGTATGATTGTTTCAATTAGAGAAACTTTTGGATATACAACATCTATAAAAGGATGTTTATTCCACTTGGGTCAATCAATTTGGCGGAAAGTTCAAAATTTAGGGCTTGTTCGTGATTATAATCAAAATGACGATATAAAAAAAACTGTACGCCGTATGTGTAGCCTAGCTCTAATACCAATAGACCAAATCGATGATTGTTGGACAGAAATTCATGCCCAAGCGCCTCAACATGAAGGTAAATATTAAAAGGTATTTAAAATTTGTGTACTACAATTTTTATATTTATATAAATAAATTATTTAGGTTTGGATAGATTGATGAGTTACTTCGTAGAAACTTATTTGGATAACGACGTTAGTATATTTAGTCGTAGCATGTGGAACCACTACGAAACAGACCATACGAGGACAATTAACCACCTCGAGGGTTGGCATGCAGCTCTTAACAGGACTATATGTCGACCACACCCAAACATTTTTATTTTAATCAAAGAATTAAAAAACCAGCAGCAAAATTTTGAACTTGATATTATTACTCAAAAAAAATGTAACCAAGCTCCGAAAATGAGGAAAAAGTACAAAACTTTAGAAGACCGATTAAAAACGGGAAAAGAGCGGTAAATACTAAATAATTAACTATATAATTATTATAATATTATATTAATACCTCAAATGTATGTTTAATTCAGATTTGGAAATGGACAAATATCTATTATGGAATATCTAGATGCGATTATTTACCACTTCCATCTTGAATAAAATTATAAATATAAATATAAATTTTTTTATACATTTTTTGACAATTAATGTTTTTATATATTTTTACTAAATATTAATTATTTTTACTAATTTCTACTATACATTTTTGACAATTAATGTTTTTATATATTTTTACTATAACGTAATTATTATTTCATTTATTTTTATTATTTCACCATTTTATTTGACTATATATTTTAAAATAATATTATAACGAAACAAAATTCTATTTTACTATGCTTCGGCGAGATGGGTTTCGGCGAGATGGGTTCGGCGAGATAGGTTTCGGCGAGATGGGTTTTCGGCGAGACGGGATTCGGCGAAATGGGTTTCGGCGAAATGGGCCCAAATCGTTCCATCTGCCAGTAACCAAATGTCAAATGAAAGTAATGGTTCATCAGCCTATTCTTCAAATGATGATATTTTTTCTTTGTAAATATTTTATATTTCTTATAGGTACCTAACAAGTTTTTATTTTATAATTTTTTTTTAAGTTTTTGAATTTTGATAAAAAAAACTAAGAAAATGTTTATTTAAAAAGAATATTATACCTATTGTTAAATTTTATCATATTTGGTTTATTACAATTTTAGATCTCTTTAAGATTTTTTTTTTTATTTTACTTAAATTAATTTTCTGTACCTATATTGTTTATATAGATATAAACTTTCATAGATAACCTAGGTATCTACCTAATTGTATACTTTTTGGTGAAAATAAAGATAAAAAACATAGTACTTACTTCAATGAATTCTTTCAATGCAGTATAAATAGCATCACACACATCTGGTAGAAACGTACTTATTGTGTTCTTTGGTACTCTGAATAAGTATTGAAGACTGGTAAAAGAATTGCCTGTGGCCAAAAAACGAAGTACTATTTCCAATTTTGTACGTGCAGGTAATGCTTTTCTAAAAAAAGTGTCTTCTTTTTGAATTAATGGTTTAACTTTATCCAGTAAATATTGAAAAAGGTAATTATCCATTCTCAAAAAGTTTTTGTATGATGATGGATCTTCATTTCTTAATTCAAAACATAAACTATTTGATGCGCCAACACTATTTCTTCTACTAATCCACTGTCGAACCCATAATCTTTTTTTTTTTAAAGCTTCTTGCTTCTTTTTTAAGATTTCTTTACGAAGCATATCACAAACAATAAGTACTCCTTTTTTTGTTGGATCCATTTAACAGTCTCGTAAAAATTAAAAATATTTCAAAATTAAAAAAAAAACAGCACTTCTAGTCGCGATCAGATCACTTTTGAAACTAAACAATATTTAAATACATGCAAGACTACACATATACAAGCATATATGTGAACATGCACTTGCGTATTACCATGCGTATTCTTGCATGATATATATTGCAAGCAAGTTTACAATGCAAGAAATTGCAATAGTGTGAACCCGGCATAAGAATATTATTAATTATGCCGGGGGAATCCCGGAACGGTCACGGTACTGTCACGTCACTGCTGTGTGTAAATAGACCTTAATGTAGATATCGATAGGCGATATTAAAATATAATCAGTATCTACCTAAGTAACGTGGATCTATACTATCAGTTTAGAAATATTATGCTGAATAAACCGGGTAAATATAGAATATATATAATTAACTAAACGCTTAATTCAATTTTTGAAATTGCACTTTATCTTAAATCGCCGAGTGGGTACAAACGTACGGGACTACGGTCTACGCCCTACGGAGTATACGGACTACGGCAACAGTATTCAGAGTCTCTTCATGTCTTCTGCAATAAATTGTATTTTAGTGTAAACGCACTTGTGTAGTTATTAAGTCAAAATAATGTAGTGTCATCGATTTTAAAATTTCGAAAATTGAAAACTTATTTTATATTTTATTATTATAAATGCATCTACCGTAATGTTATTCGTGATGAGAAATTTTGTGGAAATGTGTGTTCAATATTTGAATAAGATCGACCATACTAATAATGATAATGTACCATAATAATATAATATGATGTGATGTCTTATATTTATAGGTACCAGCTATATATATTAGACGGTGTTGGTGCAGATGCGTACGTCTCACTTGCGTACACGGCGATTTTCTTCTCAGTTGCGTACACAATTATCAAAGGTCAAACTACGAACGAATATTATAGTCACATTTGCGTACACAGCTTAAAATGTGGGCATTCCCTTTGTATACTTTTGTTGCCTAAATATATATTATAAGCTATTTCATTATTATTATTTCACTATTATCATCTTATCGAAAGACGTACGATTCGCTGTATATATGCACTGTTTTACTTAATAGGATTTGATCTACGATTGTATGATTGATACGTATTTTGATACGTAACATCAGTGTTTGAACAGTATACCATACTGACAACGGTGTTGCTGCTCACGGCAATTTTATTCTTATTTTTTTTTTCTATAATTTATTATTAATATTAAAATGGAATTAATCGAAACAACCAAAAAGAAGCCATCTTTAATTGACGGTAGCGGGTTTCAATACCGACAACATCGCAAAAATAAAGATGGAACCATAAGCTGGTTGTGTGTAAACGAAAAAAAAAAAAACTGCAGAGGAACGTTAAAGTCACAAGGCAATAATGTGCTTTCCATCACCGATCACGAGTGCACTCCCGATGTGGCAAAGACTGAAGTCGCAAAATCCTTGTCTACAGCTCGCAAGAGGTAAAACATATTAATATTAAATAAATAATAATAATATACAGGATTTAAAAAAAAAATATATAAAATAATAATAATTAATAAAATATTTTATTATCATTCAAAAAGTTACATATACACAATTTAATGTTTAAAATAATTTGATACATTTTAAGCTATATTTTATACGTGTCATTTTTACAGATTGCGTGAAGAAGATACGCCAGTTCGTTCTATTTACAACGACGCTGTACGACCTTTAATGGACGCTGGATACGAGTTTGTCGCAGAAGTTCCTACATTTGACGAAGTGAAAGCTGGGTTTTATCTTGCCCGAAAACAATTTAGATGGTCTGTTCGCGATCCACAATCTGTAGAAGAACTTGAGATACCAGCTGACCTAGTAGCTTTGAGAGACGGGACTTCATTCATTGTTTTGGATGCAACTATCGACAAGACAAGCAGAATTATAATTTTGGCTTCTGCATCAGGTAAAAGTGCGTTGAAAGAGAATTCCGAATTTTTTATAGATGGAACTTTTAAGACTTGTAGTAAACAATTCACACAATTGTACACGTTCCACATCGATGTAAGCTCTAGTTTTCACGAACGCAATGCTTTCCCCATCGTTTTTGCTCTTTTGTCCGATAAAAAGCAACAAACGTACCATCGCCTTTTTGGGGAAATGAAAAATATTGGATGGAATCCACAGTCCGTACACCTCGACTTCGAGATAGCTACAATGAACGCCTTAACAACTATTTTTCCTGAAATAAAATTACGTGGATGCCATGCAATGCTTGTGGCGAAAAATTCAGGATGTTGGCTTAGCATCCGTATATAAACAAAATGAAGATATTCGAATGCATGTTAGGAAGTGTGGAGCAATGGCTTACCTTCCTCTTGATAAAATTGACGACGCTTGGCTTATTATTCAAAGTAATGCACCTGATGACGTGAAGCTAGCTGAATTTAACGACTATTTTGTTGAAAACTGGCTCGACTCCGCCACTATTTCTAAGGAAATGTGGAATTGTCATAATGAAAAGCACCGAACAAACAACATCGTCGAAGGATGGAACCATAAATTTAAAACATTGGTGGGAAGATCACACCCGAGTATTTGGGTTTTAATTGAAAAACTTAAAACAGCAGCAGCAGAAAGTGACCATCGACTTTTACGCGCTGAATTAAATTTAGAAGGGACTAAACGAAACAAAAAATATATAAAATTGGACGAGAGAATTAAACGTATTACTCAAAACTTTTTAGAAAATAACGACTTAGACAATTGCCTCAAAAAATTGGCCATAATCGTCAAATTAGATTAAATTTTACTATATTATTATACATTTTACATTTAATATTAATTACTTATTATATTATATTGAACTATACTTATTACAATTATATTTTATATTTTACATTTAGGGTTAGCTACGTATTTATTCGCGCGCCCTCATTTTTAAACACGCCAGAGTATTGCAAAATATTCTGCCAGTCCTAAGCCTGACCAAATGACACTTGGTGTTATTCTGGGTAATTACATTGTACGCAAGTGAGAAAATTTGTAACTAAAAATAGACTGTACGCAAATGAGACGTACGCATCTGCACCGGATTCATATTAGACTAAGCAATGCGCAAACAGTCTAGCCTCCATGCAGTGATGTCACTTGGAAAAAAGGTGAGTACTGGCTACATTAGCCAGAAGCAACATTTGTGGAAAAGAGAGAAGCGGTGAAAATGCAGCTTACAGAAACGACTTGAAAAGAAAATATACCTTGTGTTAGTTTTGGACAGCCAGAAATATTTCAGGTAAGATTAATAATAATATTTATTTGAATATTTATTAGTAGGTATTCGCATTATTCGAATATACGTAGCTACGATTTTGGTAGATCGCCCACCCAACACAAAATCCGTTATACGTTGTAGGTATGTTATGTATATTATATATTTATTTACTATTTTATAGACTATCTTGGTCAACAAATAATTTCATTTTCGGGTTCAAAGTCTATAAGATAATATCGTAGTAATAAGTACCTATTGATTATAATTAAAAATAAGCATGAAAAAAATGCAAAACATGGATAATAAATTTTCAATTTTTATTGAATGTTATATATTTTTATTTTTATTTTGCAACGTTACTTATATATTAATTTTGTTAAAATTTGTGTGAGTAAAAAGTAAAACATATATTATTATAGAACACACGTGTAATACACAAGGGTAATTTTTAATCATTAATACATTGCCCTAACCGAATAAATAACATTTTAATAAGTACCACAAATATGATTCTTTGAAACGTAAAATATTTAACAACTTACCTAATTTTATATTTTCCTCAACGCCTTCTTGGGCCCTTAAGTGTATATTTTGTACACTTCTTTTTTTAATACGCAAACATATGCAGCTCATGCACTCATGCGCGGATAGGCCCATCGGGAAATCGGGATTTTCCCGATAGCCCCCCCCCCCACAAAATTATACTCAGAGGCCCCAATCCCGAAAAATTAAAAAAATAGTAATAATAATTTAAAAGCAAATTTTTATAATACCCCCTTTCGGCCTGGCGGCTGTACAGTATTAATGCGTATTAATGTACCTATACTCCATTAGGGCCTAGGTGCCTCAGTGTAAACTCGTTGATATCCTTGTGAATACATAGGTATTTTGCTGTATGTACTATTGAGCTAAAACTAAATAATGTATAAAGTATAAATATAAATAAATATAACCGATGTTCGAATAAGAAAAATAAACAACCATAATAACAATTAATTTTTCCATTAGTGAGAGTTAATAGTATGACGTATTATATTGTATCGTATAATAAACTCGATTTGTTTATTTTAAAATAATTCGTATGAATGTCTAAAATATCATTTTTTCTTACATCAACATTAATAAACAGTATAAACTATAAAGTAAGCAAGTACAATAATATGATTTACCTTTTCTTATTTCTTACTCTATGCCCTATGGTATTATTTAAAATTTGATCAGGTGTTATTATTTTTATTTTACTTTTCTTATTGGATATTGTGAGAGCTTTTTGCTAATTGTGTTTTAATTTATTAAATAATATGTATGATAATTACNTCCACTTCATTTCTTAGCAGAGTGAAATAAATAAAATAATTAAACTTAATTAATATGTAATTAATTTATATTTTAATATTTTATAAAATCATCCGGTAGAAGCATAATAGACTCATCAAGAATTCCATATCTTTTTTCAAAATTAGAATCGGACTTCGTTAACACCTTTAAAACAAGGAAATGCGAAGCACCTATAACGCATATAAAAATAATAGTGTTGCGGCCCCTTAATAGATAATGTATATTTATTTTGAGAGTTTTTACTAAATTGGTATTATATTGCATCGTGTTTTTAAAACCCTCAATCAACCAACGTATAATTTTCCATTTTTATTAATACAAATATTGAACAAATTAAAAAATTTAGAAATATTTGCAATTTTGGAAATGTTGGGTAAAAAAAAAATAGAATTTTAATTGTAATTTCTGGGAGTATTGGTACACATGATACATAATAAAACACGGATTTTAAAAATTATTGTCTAGTAATTTCACCAAATTTGTATTTCTTAATAATACAATTGATTGTTCATTTATTGTTAAATAATATGCTCTATTTGAAATATCTTTATCTTGTTCTGTACTATTTATTTCAATATACTCGATAGTCTGTGATTCGATTATTGCTTTTAAAAGACAAAAATATTAGGATTTGAAATGAATCAATTAAATTTGATATGAAAATATATTTTAAATTTTTAACCATCAGTCACTTTAACCAGTAATCAATTGACAAATAAATAAGTTTTTAATTTTCAAGCATTTTAATGTGTAGGTTGTGTATGTTGGTGTTGATGGGATTAGATCAAACAACAATATTTTCATATCTAAGGGTAGCCGGTAGGGAAATATGAAAACAAGCACAATCGATACACTAACCGTAAAATATAAAGGGCGCAATTGTTATATTGACCCTAAAATACAAATTTTGTTTAACCGGGGACAGGCGTAGATTTAACATTTTTCTATTTTTCTATAAACATAAGGTTTTGCTACAGGTAAAAAAGTACTTAAAAAGTATTAAAAAACAACATCCGCGTTGTTTTTAGAATATGTTTTGAACCTATTTTCTAAATGTCCAGACATATTTTCTGTAATTTAATCAGGTTCTTTTTTATTTGTATTTATTTATCCTCACCGTCATTATTTCAGATCACATAAACAAATTGTCATTAACACTGTCCCGCAGTAAATTCCAGACCATGATCGTTCCTGAATACAACGGCCTAGACATGTGGACGATGTTGCAGTTACGGCCTAGACTTGATCCAGTTGACCCTCCGCAAACTTTATCGCCGACCGAGACCGACACCACCAAGCCCCTTGCCGGCCAGCATGGTGCAGGTTTGAGGTAAATACATCATTTTTTATACGCGATATTAAGGAATCGAAATTAGCAATTTCTACCACAGTCACTGCCCACTCTACATCAAAGACATTTTTGTGTTGTATATTCTGCAGATTCGGGAGCCTGCACAGTCCACATTAAACTTTGGTGTCATTCGAGGCACAATAAATTTAGCTTTCTACTGGAATTTCCATCGCATAATGATTGTTAAAAAAAAGCGTTGAATTCAAAAATTCAATACGGTAGGTTTTCAAACATATCGATGATTTTATCAGGAAAACTAAAAATTTGTTTAGGTTTTGATTAGAATCATATTGATTTTACTTTTTTTATGCAACTAATTTTTAACAGTGTTATTATTTGCAAAAGTATAAATTACTTTATAATTAAATAAACAAAATAATAATGGTTAGAAAGAGTTATAATATAAATGATGCTGCAGGAAAAAAAATATGTGGATAAGCGTCGAAGTGGGCATTCGAAGATTAATAGAATATTAGGAAAAATGATGCAAGAGTTAAGTAAATAATAATATATACAGTCGATGCGAATCTGATAAATCGTCTAGGTTGCATTGCTGGGTTAAATCTCTACACATAGTCTGACGAGGTGTTGTCATATTGAAAAACATTAAAAGCTTACCCATTTCCAGTAATTTTGTGAATAAATATATTTCATTTGTTTACATGTAAAGGAATCGACGACAAGCCATGGATAAAATAAAAGGTGGAGATGGTGGATCCAGTTCANGGTGTTATTATTTTTATTTTACTTTTCTTATTGGATATTGTGAGAGCTTTTTGCTAATTGTGTTTTAATTTATTAAATAATATGTATGATAATTACCCTCGACGACAAGCCATGGATAAAATAAGAAGTGGAGATGGTGGATCCAGTTCAGTCTTGTCGCTCACTAGTTCTGGTTCACCGTCAATTGTAAACGGTGAGGACTCAAATCCCATGAGCGTAAACAATTTTATACTTGGACAGATGAAACTTGTGAAAATGAATCAGATCCAGAAATCTAAGTTCAGAAACAAACATCGACGCTCGGTATCAGATACAGAAATATCATCAGAGAAGAATATTACATCAACAGCAGACCCGATGATCGATAGTAATGGTCATAATATAAGTGCTGTGAAATGCTTATTATCTCTGTCGTTCCCTGTATCCCTCCCAACAGATTGTATACAATTCTATTTTAGATCTTTATTTAAAGCAAAATCATAGTATTAATAAAATAAAAAAATAATTAATATTATTAAAATCATTTTATTAATCATATTGTTCTTATAAATATCGTTGTTATTTTTCACTTAGTAATATGGTTGCAGTATGAATGTAAAAATGTCTTGTTTTGACATTTTATAAATGTTGAAATTGATGCTTGAGTATGTATAAGTGCAAAATTTAATGGTATGGTGTAGTGCATCATCCGAACGAAAGCTATGGTCGGCATTTGGATAAATAATGTGAACAATATTATTTTTATAACTATCTGATGGAAAACAAGAAATGATTGTCCTATGATGCACCTCATCTTACAAAATGTGTAATTTTCCTAAAATACACGATAGAAAAATCCAAAATGTAAAAAAAAAAAAATATTTTTTAAATTATAAAATCCAGCTTCTTTTAATATAAAAATATAACATTATATTACTTTATGTTCACATACCTAACCTTAATTGAATAAAGAGAATTTTCAAAAAATTATATTTTATATACGCTTAACTCACTTAAAATTAAAATATCATGAAAAACAACCAATGAACACAGATAATGTTCTAACTTAAAAGTTTTGATATTAGGTCAATTTCCTTGCATAAATTTATGCGTTGAAAGTATTGAAAAAATGTAGTGGTTCTAATTGTGGAGCTGTAATAACTCATTGTTAAAACCTCAATACAAAAAAGTTGTGGTTCCACGGTGAAAGTGCGCATAAAAAAGCGTTCCACGGATAAAAAAGTTTAGGAAACGATGCTCTGTGTACATTAAATAAAAGTATGGTGGTTACGTGCTGGAAATACATTCACTTCTCCCATTGGTAAAAGAAGTGAAGAGTGTGATGCGATGCGGTCATCGATCGACGGAGATCTGAGGCCCGAGGGTTAGGTTACTACAAAGCTCAATGATTTTCCCTTTATAACAATAACAACGTAGTATATTATTTTTATCTACCCCCGTCATCTCGATGTCTCGCCTCTACGGCGCCATATAAACCCCTTTGATCGTCTATGTATTCGTGTTAATTTAATCACGGGAAGTTCAAAATAACTAACATAATGTACGAAAAACCATATAATATTATAAAAAGTCACAAATGGTAGGGTTCGGGAGAGCCTGAGAGGTCGCATGTACTCAAGGTTTTAAGTACTCAGACGTATGCAATAGTGAATAGCAGGTTATCGTACATCAAATGTAAAATCAATTACAAAAAACCTTCCAATTGGTATAAATTATTTTTAATCTCCTCAATTCGAAAAAAAAATACATATTTGAATTCAACAATAGGTATATTACGGTACCTACTTCTCTGTTTCTTCCACTGAGTCAAATATAAAATTTAGCACTTCGCTTTCGGATAAGAGTCGCTTAGTAGGTTCAATGGTATAATTTTTTTTCTATATTATATTATGACAAAACTTTCATATAACTATTGTTTAGAATAATTAAATAGTAGCATATAATATAGTTTTCGATGCTACACTAGAACTTCGAAAAAACGATAGTATATTAGAGTGATTTCTCGACACACACACACACACACACACACTCACACGCAAGCTTTGCTTAGGTTGATGTACCCAAAACACGCATATTATACTCACATAAACTCCAAAATCAGTGAATACACACACAAATATTGAATAAAAAATAAGGTGTATAACACATACTCACACACGCGCACGCTCGTAAGTCATAGATGAACCACGAGCTGGTCGTCACTTGGTCATGTACTCCGATCGCTTCCGGCGTACACTATTTAACACACACAATAATTAAAAATATAAAATTTTATTAATGTTGTGTCCAACTATGTCACAGTAGTATAATATATATGTAAAATTGAATGTACACATGTACACATTTACTATGTATAGTATAAAATATATATTATTTACTTTATGTTTCAATCGTAACTAGCAATCAGATTTTTAACTTAAATAAAATATAAACAAAATTATAATTTCAGCATAATATTATTTTACCTATTAAATTTGGTCTGAAATCCCGGACAATGATATTTAACGATTTACTAGTGCAACTGAATCATATTATTGCCATTTAAAATACCAATTGTATGTTGCTCATTTGCTCAGTGCATATTATAAAAATTATTGTCGACTTACTAAGACTAGCGAAAACATATTGAACACATACACACAAACATATATTTCAAAAACATTAATTTCACGAAATTGTAGAACTCTATGTAGCCATAAGTCTATTGTAAATGCACGTTCATCAAAATTTACAATTAATTATGATTATTTGAGTACTAATTATTTTAAAAACAAACAAACAACAGTTTGGTTAAGTCCCCTGATTTATTGTATTTTCGAGTGGCAAGAACGGCGCACAACAAGGTCCACTCTGTTTGCATACCGACGTGGCTCACACAAAAAACTATTTCTAAAAACGTCGAAACATATGACGCACTTAACTTAACCCGAGAATTTCGCAAGTTTATCTCGCATATTTTTATGATACTCACTATTATTCACGGTTTTATTCGAACAAATTGGGAAAAGAGACTACTTATCAGCACTCAACAGTCAATAATACCGATCATATAAATTTCAAAACAAATAAAATGACTGAATAAAATAAATGTATTTTTGTATTATACGATCGATATATCTAGTCAAATTGTTTATTTAATTTATGCTTTGGGGCAATGCTCCGAACTTCTTGTGAGGAACATTTTTTCGACAGTCAAAAAGTCGGTTTAATGATGACTATTTAACTTTATTACTACTTACTGTCGATTCGTATGTGTATACGATCAAATCTAAAATCTAAAATATTAGAATGTGTATAGGTACCTACCAAAAATAAGGCCGATTATAAATTGCGCCTATGCACTGTTAACAGGTGGTAAGTACATAGTACAGTAAATTACGACCAGTATTTTTCTGTTTTTTAAATTGATATAGTTTATTTGAGTCTATAGTATCTTATTAAATTCAAAGTATAAAACGAGCCTTACACGTGTAATACTTTTATACTTTAAAAACAGGAAATCATGAAAAAAAATTCAACAGGTGGAAAAAATGGTTCAACAAAATAATACTGCGATGATAACTGAATATGTAAAAATGATGTCTCGTTACCAAATACAATTATTTATAATATTATTTGTAATAATTTTATTTGTATTATTTACTCCATACTCTATAGAAATTAACCTGACAGACATTTTTTAACAGCTTAATATACTCTACAAAACGAACTCGACAGACTCAAATTATTAAGAAAACTATTGTTTTGTTATATAATATACATATATATATAACCATGTATTATACATTTATATAATTGTGAATATAATTCAATTTCATTAATCCAATTTTTATTTATTGTTTGTATTTATTTATTATCACACGGCAAAATAAACCATGGGTGAATATCTATTTGTTAAAATATGTGAATTATAGTATGAATGTCATTGAAATTGGAACAAAAAGTTATAATTATACATTTTTATTATTCAGTATGTTAATGTACGGAATATGATGCAACATGAATCAATGCTCCATTAATGTTTCAGTTAACAAAAACAATTGATTGAACTCAATTTTTAATTTGAAACATCAGATAACTAGTTAGGCCTTGACTTCATTTTTTCTTTATGGACAAATATTTAATTTCGTTATCGATATGATAAATACTTTCATAAATGTTTGTATCCAATTACCAAATTATTTAACATAAAAACAGTAGATAACTTGGTTTTAGAATATAATAATATTATGCACAATGTATGTTAGGGCGTTTTTTAAATTAAGGTACGGTTTCCAAGGCGCGACCGGTCGCGGCGGCTGATCGCAGCGGCTAGTCGTGGCCACACTGATTATACGTGGCTTGCACTGACTGGTTTCCAAAGCGCGACTGCGGCTCGCGACTTAGCATGAGCCGCGGCGACCGGCGACTGTACTACGACAAGAGCAGTGTTTCGCGACAGTCGCCGGCGATTATTATCATAAGTTCAAAATGTCGAATATATTTTCACCAGAAAATGATGAACTTTTAATTGAAGAAGTGCGCCAGAATACTGTTCTTTATAACAGTCAAGATCTCAAACATAAAGACATAATATATAAAGACGAGATATGGAAAAATATTGCAGGAAAAGTAGGAAAATCCAGTAAGTTTTTGAGTAGAAATTACCACAATATTTAAACAAGGTAAATTATTATATTATATGCATACATACCTACCTTTACTAAATATGTTTAGTGGATGATTGCAAAAAGCGATGGAAAAATATTAGGGACACTCATAATCGGTACAAAAAAAGATTGGGTACAGGATCGGCTAGTTCCGCAAAGAAAAACTGGTCATTGGCAGGCAGAGTTTCTTTTCTAAATAATGTTGAATGTGAAAGGAAGTAAGTTAAAATAAGGACTGGGTTGTTATGTGTTTTATAATATAATTTTAATTATACTTCGTTTAAAAATTTTTTTTTTTTTTCTGGTATATATTATATTATATATTATTAATTACAGTCCTACCTATACAAATTTTATGTAGCGCCATACACAATCTAATAGTTAGGTTTCCAATTGAAAATAAAATTGATAACTTTGTAACTTTTTGGTATATTTCATTTAGGCATTTATATTATAATATATTATACTTTATGCTAGTTAATAAATTATGGGTTAGGTTAGGTTAGGTTAACTATGGGTACACAATTATTTAAAAAGAACTATACAACTTGTTCCAATGATATTTTAACACATTTGATATAAACTTCATAGTACGTGTTCATTGCATATGGACGAAAGTCGAAAGGTTTTATCTCGTTTATAATTAAATGGTTCTGTCGTAGTTATCGTGGAATACCGAATGTCCCACCAATAAAATTACATTTCTGGAATATTATTATTTTCTGGATATTTAATAACTTATATAAATAGTTTTATTTAGGTATCATAATATATCGTCAATATAGGATATAAAATTATCAAATAATGTATAATATATTTCAATATGTGTCCCAGAATAAAACAGAAATTAATTAATTTCACGTTATTTTTAGCTGGCAACTGGCAACTGATTATTTTGCTCATATTTTTGTGTTGCTACATATATTATTTTGGTATACAATTTATAAGGACCTATTATTATATAATATTTTATATTATTACGAAAAACAATATTTTATAGTTTCATTAAGTGTATATGTTTAAGAATGTTATCGATAGCGGTTCGTCTACGACATAAAAGTCAAGTGTCCAATTTTGACCCACCGTGTGAAAATAACATGTGCAATATACTAGTATTTATAAGTATTTGCAATTTTTAATTTTTTTAGTTTTATTTTATATAATATAAAATATAAATTATTAGGTTAGAGGATAATTTATATTGTTAGAATACTATTTATTTTTCACAGCTCTACTTCCAACTTAAGTACCCAGCAAAGTGATTTAGAAGCTGCAGATTGCTCTATTGAAGCTGACATAGACGTTGGCATTAATGAATTTAGTGACGAAGAGTCTCCCGTGTCGCCTGGGTGTTCATACGCCGGAAAACGTGTACGATCGAAAACAGACAAATTAAACGTGTTATTAGCAAAGACAGCAAAAGATCGAAACACAATTATAAAAACTATTGAAAAACAAAATGAAAAAATTTTAAATTACCATAAAACCGAGGAAGATGATGTTGATTTTTTTTTCAAAAGTTTGGCAATTACAGTAAAAAATTTGCCTAATAAAGGTATAAACGAGGTTAAAATTAAATCATTGGCTTTAGTAACAGAAATCCAAGAAAAATATTCAACTCCTGAACAACCACGTATAACATCTGACCAAACAAATTACTACCAGCTTTCCAGTCTGCAGTCGGTATCAGATTCTGCAGTACTATATTATCCCATGTCATCAGATTATTCTGGATTTGGAAACTACCATAATAATCATGGTGAGCAGTAAAATAGGTTTATGAACATAATATATGATACTAGGTATATTTTGTTATTCATTTTTATATTAGATTCATGAAGTAAGTATGCAAGTTTTTTTTTTATAATATTTTGAAGGAACAAAATAATGAATTAAGTAATCTTAATATTTTTTTTTATTTCAAATACCCAGACAGCAATTATAGAATATCAATATTATTATAACTTTAAAAGTAAATTTAATTTTTAATATTATATTTATAAAGTTGACTAAATATTTTATGAAGTTTAAAAATATAATATTATAATCAAAATATTTTATTAATGATATCATTGTATTAGTTTTATAATATTTAAGTTCTAACTAAATTAAAATGTTATTATCATATTTATATTTTAATTTTAAATAACATTATTCTAACAATATTATTACCATATTTTATTTTATAATATTTTAATTTTAATCTCTTTAAAATATTATAGAAATCTAAAATTAATAATTTAAAATAATATTTTATGTTTATCTTAGAAGCAGACTATAATTTAAAGTTGATTAAATTTATAATATTCTAATTTCATATAATTTTCATTGCAGTGCGTATTATATAATACCGTTTATAACAAATTTGTAAATTATCTATAATAAATGCATAATTATTTATATATTATAATATTAAAATACAATTTAAAAAAATTGTATTAGGTACTAATAATAATTTAATAATTTATTTTTATTGTGTTTTTTTCTTTTATTATTATGGGTTTTAATTATTATAGTCTTAACTATTACTATAATATTGTTAAAATATAATATAATATATATGATTATAAAAAAGTACTGCTGAGCATAAGGAATTCGCGGTTAGCGTTAGCGCGGCTTTGGGTACCTACACGCATTGTTTATCATGTTTCTATCACTCTTTGTTGATTTTTTTTTTATTAGGTACAAGTTAAATAATTTAGGATTTTGAGCACCCCATGAAAATTGGAAAACCCGGCGCCCATGTACCTACATATTATAATATAATATTTATTCTTTAGACTTTAGAGTGTATTACAGAGCAATACATATGATAATATATATTAATTATAATAATAATAATATAACAATATTATAGAATAAACAGAGTCCCACGACTGGTGTACTTCGTCAATATTTGGTGCTGGTGATGGTTACTTGCCATGCCGTCGGATCGACATACTTGTACAGTTGTCATTGGTGCCATTCCCGAGGATTGTCGGTAAATGTGATACAAGTCAAAGGAACGGCAAATATTACTTGTATTACTAGTCATGTACGCCAGTCATGTGAACACCGTAATAATTATGCACTAGTTAAATGTACAATTATTAATGGCGTATTTGGCAAGTACATCAGTCGTGGGAATCTGGTCGTGCTGTACGTCTGTACAAAATATTGGGGA